GAAAACCACCGAATCCTGCACACCATGTGTGTATGCATGGCACTCGCAATACAGAGTTTCCCTAGTGCGGGACTATGAGTGTGTTGCGTTATTATTGCAAAAAAATTTTTTTTTGAGAATTTCAATATTAATTTTATTGTATTTATAAGCAAAAACATTATAAATACGCGTTACGCAAAATTTTAAATTTGTACCATTAGGTTTTAATTTTGAATTTCGCACCTTTGGAGTATAACATGGCAACTTTTCAGGAGATAGGTTTAAAAATTCTACAACAAAATTAGTCGATAACTTTTATGTTTTAGTATAAAAAATTTGACATGTACATAATACTTGTCTTCCTGTACCAACCGAAATTGCGTACTCAGTGGAATCCATCCTTACGCCATTCGCTAAAGATATTGCATAAGTTAGCTAGCTAGTAATAAAAAAAAAAATTGCAAGCAAAATTTAGGGTATGATCAGCTAGACTGTTGAGATTTGTGGGAGTCAGTGAGGCCCTTAAACGTATGGATATCCAAAGTCAAAGTCAAGTAATAATTTATTCCATATTTACACTTGAAAACGTCACTTTTAAGCTACTGCTTGTTCACTATGCTGACTTCCCTGAGAAGAACGAGCAAGAAACTCTAGGGATTGCTCTTTTCAAATAGACTAAAAATGCTATGGAATACACTTTGAATCAAAGTGTGGAATCTAGAGCCATGTCGTCTTTCCATACATCTTTAACTAACACGTAGTCTTCAATTATGTAATATCAATCAAAATATTTTTAATGTAGTTTTAAACTTACGAAATGATAATCTTAATATATGCTCCGGAATTTTATTGTGAAAACGTATTCAGTTCCCCACAAAAGAGTCATTAACCTTGGTTAAACGAAATGGTGGTACCATGAGTTTGGACTTAGTACAAAGGTTAATATTAAGGATATCTCTATTCTTAATGAAATTATGTATATTTTTACGGACATACAAAATATTTTTCGTAAATCTACTGTGATGCCAGTCTCTTTACACTTTTCTCTGAGAGAAACCCAAGAATTTAAACGGTACACAGAACGAGTCACTCGTGTTTGCAACACAAATATGGTTTGTATGTCTGCCGCTTTACCCCACATGAGAATCCCGTAGGACATTATACTATGGCATTAACTAAAGTAAACTAGTCTAGCTGTACTAACATCGGTAAGCTCACATATTCTGCGGACTGCGTATGCAGCGGAGCTTAATCTGCTGGCCATGGAAAATATTTGTGGAAACAATTGACGTTTACTATTAAAGGTCACTCCCAGCTCTATGCTATAAGATTCTTGTAACATTTAGACTTCAGTATTATTACTATTTAGTTGCAGTAGAGCTCCTTGTGAAAAAATTTGTCCAGGGAAGAAATGTCAACTTATCTTTGCCGCCAAGCAGTAATGTGAGCATTACTGCTTTATGGGTTTTGGAGGGTACTTTTACCTGCTAGAGAAACTACAGTCAAATGGGACAGTCAACTTTATGTCTCAGAGTGATGTGGTGAGCATTGTGGTTATTACTCTTCAGGTATGAGTGGCACTACAATTGTTATGGACGATTTACTCGTCCCGTCTCTTGGTTTTATACAAAAAAAGTAAACAAGAATACAATGAAACAGCTCTAGTTATGATATCGATCACGACGTTAAATAAAAATAATGTTTTTACATGTTGGTGTGTGTTATATTTATTGAAATAACTTTCTGTGTTACTGTATAGAGATCGATTCGTCACAATTATAATTGCAATATAAATGCTCAACAATAACTGTATCATAAGTGTACGATCACATACAGGTTATCGTACTAATGAGAATAAATTAATTTATAAAATAGAAAGTCTCAAAGTTTAATATGACAAATTGATGCAAGATTGTAAGCGGTAAAGATTTTGTCAGAATTTTCGAAAGTCTTAGAACAAAAATTATTTATCAAATGACATGAATGCTACTGTTGTTTGGGAGAAGACGTAGTGACAAAAACAGAGAAAGATGTTGAAGCGAAATAGAATGAGCTACTGGAACAGAACATCCACGAAGAATATTTTTAGGTCTATGGAGAATGTTCTGGTAGTGATAAAAATAGGAGGGCTTTTATGAAAAGATTGATAAATGTAAAAATATGGATTGATAATGTAAAAATGTGAAAATTGCAAGGAGTGATACATGATTGTCATTTTTTATTTTTTTATATATTTTATTTTGGAAACCACATAATATCTTATATAAGTTAAATAAAATCAATTTGGTCTATACAAATGCTATATTGAGTAGTATCAAGTAGTGTATGACGAAGAAACGATAACCGATGGGGGAAACGAGTTCTTGAATGGAGACTACGGTTCGGCAAACGTAGTGTAGGACGCCATCTGGCCAGGTAGACGATATACGAAAGGCTGCTAACAGCAGATGGATGTGAGAAGCTGAGGACCAAACGATATGGCGCACATTGGGATAAGTTAAGTCCAGCAGTGGACTACGATGATGATGATGTTCGTTTTCTTCTCTATAAGCGACTGCTTTCTTAACTATTTTTATTATAATATATTATCAGCTAAAATAGTCTGTTCAGGTCTTTTTGTTACACCGTGTATAAAACAAGTATAAATACAGCGTGAATGTCATTCCAGTTGTCGCATTCTAGCAGCAACTATGGGGCAAACAATTCTCTTATGTGTTCAGTTGGTATTCTTTGTTGCAATTGTCACTTGTGTAAGTAAAATGCATTAACTTTTAAATCTCGTACCTTTTTGTTTTAATCGTAGTCTCTGTATATTTATTAAGGTCCCTTCAAGATCATGTTCAATTGTGAAATTAGACAACTTTTCCTATGGTAATGGGTCGAGTGGGAATGGACACTAAGACAAGAATTAAAAGGTCGACTCAACGGTTGGAAACCCTTGGAATCACGTACTTTGAATGGCTGTAATTTTTAAGCTCTGTACATTTGTGAAAATTTAAAAAGCTCTCGTTGTAAGCTCTCGCTAACGGTGAAGGTAAATACTGTGATGACACCTGCTTGTCGAAGAAGGTTTACCATCCTTGGAAAAGGTATGACGTTCCTAACTGCATTAAACTTGCGTGATAGATTGTAGGCTAAATATTTCCTTAGCGAACCCGGTATCAGATGTGGAACGTATAAGGGATGGATGATGAAGATGATGAATATAAATTTACTGTTTCTGCTTATTGTATTGATGGCATACACTTTACCGCTTGTCATAATGACGTATAATTAGAAAAGAAAGAATGGTCAAAGAATGGCCGTGACCACCACCAAATATATGCGATTTAGATCCGAAAGAAATTGTTTCATTTTCAATGGTTTCTCTTTGCTTTTATATTCATGTTTCAAGTGCTAGTGTCAATGCAGCAGTATAAAGATACTGCGAAGTTTATCGTCTGACTTTGCCTTTATTTTAAACTTGACTTTACACCTCAACTGTAGCTTTCCTAAAAGTTTAAATTTGACGTATTTGTAAATTGAAGTCATCATGAACCTATATTTCTAAATGTAATTATTCGATAGAGAGAGTGCAAAATGCTCGGACCATTTGTTTGTTTAAATGAAATTGGTCGGATCTTGAATTTTTTTTACAATATCAAGTGACGGGACGAACAATGAACAATGCTCCTAATGGTAAACTACACGCCTGTCCATAACAGTTACAGTGCCACTGGGAGCTTTAAATTGCAAAGATCTGAGGGGCACTGCCACTGCGCCCGTCACCCTGAGACATAAGTTGACAAGTCCCATTTGCCTGTAACTTCACCAGCACCCTTACCCTTCAAAACCGGAACACAGTAACGCTGACGTTACTGCTTGGCGGCAGAAATGGGTAAGGTGGCAGTACTTCCATCAACGAACTCTTTCACAAGGAGCTCTACTGCTACTGAAATCCATTTGTAATAATTTCTGTATTCTGTCATCTAATCACGTTATTTAGCGACCAAGTGCAATTAAATTTCGGCTTGTATCTGCATTCTTGAAGTAATAAAATTGAGCTGATGATGTTATCACAACTAATCCATAAATCTAAAATAGTTGCCTGAATAAAAGTTAGTCTTTAACTAAATACTTTCATCATCATCAAATCAATCATTTTTTCATCATGATCTTGCCTAACCTCACCCACCGTTACACGATTTTGAACATTAGGTTTACCCATTTCGTAACTGGACGTTTCATGTTTCTTAATCATATTTTTGGATTTATCGAGTTTTTTAGTTATTCGGTTTTCGCGATTGTTACACACAGGAAATAAAACCATTTTACATAAACCGCTGAACCAATATTGATGAATTTTGGTATACAGACAGATAGGATCTAGATGAAGGAATCCTAAAGTGGGTGAAAAAGGAGATAAAAATTTATTTGGAGAACCAATAAAATTATGAAAATTAGTGCAGTAGAGTATGCTACACTAAGTCGCAGGCACCAGCTAGTTGATTATATTTTTATATTCTCGTAATTTAGCTTTTTCATGCGCTACTTCTTGTATCTAAAAAACATTATGTCAGCCAACACATTTTTTCATAAATCGTTCACAAGAAACTTTAAAAATCTTTTGCTTATTATTTACTTTCAGGTGAACTATAGCAAGGAAAGCGATTATCAAAGTATAGAAGAATATCATAATGATAATTCAGATGACTTTATACATGTGAGTCCTCACGATCCATATGTTACATTCGCTGCTAAAGCTGCTCTGGAAGGTTTTAAGGTTCAAAAGGCAAAAGGCAAAAGCTACGTGGCCTTCCCACGATATATTAATTTGTATAAAGTTGATCATGCCGAACTCCTAGTCGATGATGGATGTGACTACAAATTAAATTTTACTGCACTTTTAAATGTACAGGTATATCCTTTTTACAAGTGTAACGCGATGGTTCACAGAAATACTGAAAATGTTTTCTATGTAAATAAAGTAGGATGCAAACGTCATTTCGTTATACTCTGATTTGTGAATGTCATTCAAATTGAACGTGAATTTTATGGAATTAATACATTGACTTACAAATAAATGGACGACGGGTCTAATACAAAAACCACGAAAAAAATGTCCCAAGTCAACCTATTTAAACGAAGTCACTAGACTTGTAAAGGAATATGAAAAAGCTAAAACGTTGAATTTAAATTGTAATGTCATCGCAGTGCTGTCTAATTTTGCATGCTTCGCTGTCAGTCGAACAAACGAAGACTAAAGCGTGAATGACGCTCTGTATACGATTTTAACGCCCTATAAGTTCGGACACTTTTTAGCGTGGACCCGACGTCCATATAATTGTAAGTCAATGAATTAATATAAGAATATGAGTTACCTATCAGTAGTCTGAAATGACATTTTCCAGAAATAACGTTTGGTCGAAATTTCATAATCTCGAAAGTAATTTTGAGAGGAAAATGTTTTTTTCTTTTAAACCTTACTTAACCTAACCGAACCTAATCGTGTCTTTGCGATAAACATTCAACATACCCTGAAAGAACAACTGTTGCGTTATAATTCGGTTTTCGGTGTAATGAAGATTCGAACAAACGTTATTTTGGACAAAAAAATTTCGAGTCTGTGATAGGTTGCCATGAATATGATATAACCTTAGAATAATAACGCATAGAATGATAGTTTCATATCAAACGAACTGTCACAAGTGAGGCAAAAATCAAATTTATGTAGGCTAGTTTTAGTAGTAGGTTAATTTTCGGTTTTAGTGTATATTTATATAAAAATACAAGTTGAAACGCGTTACTTCCTTGTGGAATGTGATGTTAGTATCTATTTTATGTTTGTCTGACGTATTTTTACACTCATTTACAGCACATTTCGTCATTTTTAGCTAAAATTCTTGAGCTGTTCGCGGTGCAAGTTGACCTTGAGCACTGAAGGCCCGCCCGCTCGTGTAGGCCCATTGGGCGCGCTTCAATTTGCCTCACTTAGCGTGTGCGGGCTAGGTTTCTATGCGTTATTATTCTAAGGATATAACGTTATCAAAAAATAACTTATATGATATTCCTAGATAATTATAACATTTAATTCATACTGAATGGAAAGTACCTCTATATAACCTTAATGATATATATTGAAAATATGTTTTTTTTTATGATATCAAATGACGGGACAATAAGTCGGTGTTCTTGGTGGTAAGCGACACGCCTGTTCACATCAGTCGCAGTGCCACTGAGAACTTTAGGTCAACACTGTCAGTTCGCCCGTCACCCTGAGACATACGTTGGCAAGTCCCATGCGTCTGTAATGTCACCAGCATCCATACCCTTCTAAATCTCTCTACTTCTTCGAAATTACAATAATGTGAGCATTACTATTTGGCGGTAGAAATAGGTAAGGTGGAAGTACTTCCGAGCGAATTCTTTCACAAGAATCTCTATAGCGAATAATGTATGTACAATGTTATTATTTATTCTATGATATTAAATGTTAAAACTTGAAAGCCATACATAAGCTATATGTATATAACCGTTTATTCAATTCCATTAAAAATACGTGATGTTTATCGTAATAATTATCCTTGGAACATCATATTTTATAAATTTTGGTTTTTCTATAAATAAAAATAAAAGTATTTTATAAGATACATATTTTATTAAACGACTTCAAAAAAGGAAGTTCTCAATTCCACAATAACATCCTCCTGTAAGGGTAACAAATTAGGGGATTAAACCGTTTTCAATAAAACTTGGCACATAGATATTCACAAAATTTTGAAGTTGGTTTATTTTTTTTACAAAAAAGCATAATTATTTATGTATCTTAGTAAATGTGTCTTTTTATTATAAAATTGTAAGATAAAAATAGATGACCCCAAATATAAGATACGGCCATGAAGACCTGCTACATGTGTAGCACTAAAAACTGATCGTACAGTGAAAAAGGGGTGAGCTTGCCAGACAAGCTTGCTGGGTTCGATAATCGGCTTAAACGGCCTTTATTTACGACTATGTTGTTTTAAGATGATTTGTTAGAGTCGTGAAAAAAAAACCATTAGTTTTTCTAGCATCATCATTACGCTAAGCGACCTTTTGATAGACTCAGAGTTTACTACAACAATGAGTTTCGTGCTATGCTGCGGCTTCCCTGGCGGTGTAGTGCGTCTGGCATGTGTGCCGTGAATAGAGTAGTATTTCTTTCGTCATAATTCGTAAGAGAAATTGGTCTTTTCTTACGAGAATGAGCGATTTGGCCAATATTATTGTAAGGCCAGTATGCGATACATGCAACTTTTTAAGCGAACAGTCCATTTTTAAAAGATATATAGATAAACAGTTTATTTGCCAACAAAGCACACAAATTACATGAAATACAAACAAACAATGAAGTGAATACTTAAAACGAACAAAAACAGGATTATATAAACAACAAATACAAAAATCAAAATCAACTTGTAATAGAAAAATGTGTCATGTGTACTGCCGTGGCGCATAGGACGCAGCTCAGCGTACAACGGTCGCAAAAACGACGCGCTGATTTTCATCTACCTCCCAAAAGGTTACGCGGAACATTAAAATGTAAAAAGAAAAAGATAGTTGTCTGTGCAAATTAGTGTGCTATGTACACGAAGCATAATGTGTATGAAGTTTATGTAGTATGTACTTACGGAGCATTAAATATTCAAATAATAAATTACAACCTTAAAACAAATAATAAATTACAAAACAAAAAAGAAAGCAAAAATTGTTAAGTTTATTATTGTGTGTGATCTGTATACAATAAAGTAATGATTAGTAATTAATTTACTTGCTAAAATAACAATAAATCGGTCGGATACGACATCTCAGGCGCGAAATGCAAAGGAATACCCAATCTTTGCTTGGCCAATATAGTAGATTTTAAATGTTTTTCAAAAGTGTATTTAGATTTAAATTACTTAAATGGGGGACTTATTCGGGACGTTTATTTTTGATTATATCGAACATAAGGCAAGCAAGATGAAATTTTCTACGCGACTCTATGTTCAACACTGATGCAGTATTTAAATAAGGAGATATATGGGTCCGTGGAAGAATATTATAACAGAACCTGCAGCAAGCACTTCGTACGCGCTGCAACAGACATTTAGTTCATTCTAGGATGCGAGGCACATACACAACATCACCGTAATTAAGCCTGGAAAGGATCAAAGATTCACAAAGCATGATACGGGACTTTTCGATCAGTAAGTGACGGATCTTGTATAGTACTTTGAGACGATAGAAACAGCTATTTACAAGGTTCAGTATGTGGCTTTCGAATCGTAAGAAACTGTCAATAACCATCCTAAGGCTATTTGTCTCGTTCACGCGTTCAAGGTGTTGACCATGAATAGTTACGATGGGATTACAATTATTAACTCTGTGTACCAGCGCTTTGCCTCCAAGCACCATAAACTTAGATTTAGTCGAATTTAAAACAAGGGAATTCTTACAGGACCATTCATATACACCACTCAGGTCTTCGTTTAGTCTTTGCAAGGTATAATCTTCTCCAATATCTTCGACAAAAAAGACAAAATACTAATAGGTCTTAAGTCTTTGAGGTCATTAGGGTTATCTACTTTTGGTAATGGATTGACCATAGCTACCTTCCACTGTTCGGGAACTTCTCCCTTGACAAGCGACCTGTTTATTATGCTCGTTATGACTTTCTGAGTATGTGGAAGGGTGAGCATATTACCATATTTATATTAATACCATCATAGCCAAGAGCGTTCGACTTAATAGACATGATATACCTGCTAACATCCTCCTCACTTACAGTATCCAAATTAAATTGGGACGTACAAAACCTGTGAGATTCGAAATATGTCAATTGCGAGATTGGAACAGAACCTCCACTGTGGATATTCAAAAAGTGGTAATTTAAAACATTTGGATCACTGAAGCGGTAGAGAATCAGATTTGCAAGGATCACACATAATTTTGTCTTTAACAGTCTTCCAGATGGTAGTGATATCTTTAAAATTACAATTTATAAAATTATTGAAATAAGCACGTTTCTCGTTACTAATGCTAGTTATAACTAATTTTTGTGAATTTCTTATAGTACTGACCATGTGAATCCAAACCCGATATTCGGTACCTTTCATAAGCTTGGTTGCGTAAATCCATAATTAATTTTATCGTATCAGTCACCCATGGTAGTGACTTATGTTTAAGATGAATGGTCTTGAATGGAGCAAGTCTATCGAAAACACCCAACGTCAGAGCATTAACGGATAAATATTTAATTCTGCTAGATTGATGTCCTTTAAGGGTCGATAATTTACAAGTTTGGGTGGCACTTTTGATTTTTTATGATTTAAAATGACAGCAGCCATATATGACCCAATCCTGTCTTTGCGTTGTGTGTTGTGACTTTATGAACTTTGCAATTAATACACACAACATTAAAGTTTCAGATGTCAAAGAAAAATGGGTTGGTATGTCGACTACCTGTTTAAGGTCTTTGTATTGTAAAAATTGAGGCAATTTAACTGTGCTAGGGTCTGATGGACACAGCATGTTTATATTGAAATCATCTGCCAGTACCAAATAATCGTAAGTAGAAAAATGCGTAATTGTTTCAGTCAACACATCAATGAAAGTATCTACGTTGATCCAGCTGGGTATATATGCTGTGCCTATAATCACTCTAAATCTATTCACACGATATTGTCATTCGGACTTGGAATGTATCGGACATGTACACCCTTCCTAATATAGAATCCTACACCCCCACCTCGGCCTCTCCGCATGTGAACTGGGCGTGGAGCTAGGCGAAACCTATAACCAGGCGGGGATGGAGCACATATTGTCTGATCCGCTGCAATCCAGGTCTCGTTTACAGCCAATAAATCAGGTCCATACTGATCCATCGCAATGTTAAAATCATTATGACCTGTGTTTAGCGAACCAGCATTATAAATACCTAAACTAAAGAATTTAACATTAGAAGTCATTGTAAAAAGGTTAAAATTAATACATGTAAGCAGCACCACGAGTCAAGCGAATAAACAAATCAAAATAATACATTACAAATATAGTAATCGGTGTAAAAAATCATGCAAAATCCGAAGCACAGGCTAAATGCGCAAAGTTAGTAATAAAATGAGCACCATAATATAATAAACCGATACATTAAGCCCCACGGCAACA